AAGGGCACTGGGTTTTCAAGAATAGGTCTTGGTCAGGCTACTTAGAGTCCCATCCCAACTCTGTCATTTGCTCCCTTTTTAACTTGGTGTCAATTACTTCAGTGATCCCGTTAAGCTTTAGTTTGCAGATCTTTCAAATAGGAATAGTAATATCATCTAACCAATTAGTTATTTGTGATAGTTAAATTATTTAGTTAAATTAAATAATAGGGTAAATTACTTTTCCAAAAATAAATCATCTAACTCCATTGACTTCAGTGTTATTTTCTCAAATGTTCTGTTCTCCTCTCAGCGCTTTAATTGTTGAATATATCCCTGAATATATAAAAATCTAGAGATGAAGAAGGCAGAGGAAAACATCAAAAGAATAACAAAAATGAAGCTAAACTGGAACTTGGGGGAGGCTAGTAAAATGTGTGCGGCACAGAGGAAGTAAATATTCGCTCTCTTCACCACTGTTATTTGAAGGTGCTACTAAAGACTTTCTGAAATGCAAACTGTGATGTTTTCCAAGGCTGCTTTTCCAATCACATCAAATCAGTCTGTGAATGGCCCCATATTGAAGTAAGCTAAGGATACATGCCAATGTTCTCTGGATGTTGTAAAATCTTGATGAAGTGCATGAAAATAGGACCTCATTTATCACAATGCAAGAATGGAATATTAGATGTGATTACCAAATGTCCCATTTTCGTTATTTATTACAATGGATATCTGGGAAGTGCTAAGAATAGAAACAGGTTGTATCTGCAAGTCAGGAGTTCTAAAGAGCTTGCCTGACATCTTTGATGTCCCCAAAGTCAGAAGCATAATACAGTGCTTTATTGCATTTTCTTCTTGAGTTTTGGATTTTCAAGTGACTAGTTATGAAAGATACATGTTTCAAATTTTATTCTACTTTGGAATGACTTTCACTGATGGTGAATTTCCATGCCCTTTATCTTTTATTTTTCTTTGCCACCTCCTCCAATTATTTTTAATTAGCCATTCCACATGCAAAATCCAATATAATAATAATAAGCTGAGTAAATAATTGTATTATCTATAAATACTTAGTTTTTTTAAATGTGCAATGCCATCCCTATTGAAATGATAAATAATGAACTTGAAAATACACAGCTAAGTACGTGTCAGCTGAATGAGAAAAATTGATGTCACGTAGCTTCAGTACGTGTGGCACTCAGTTAACCTAGTTCATGAACCCAATGGAGAATTGTAGAACTTCACTGACTGCAAATGCTAGTCCCTGGTGATGTTCAAGGTGAAGCACTGTGGACAGGTCAAGAACAGGGCGGCGGGAGGATATAAGCTATAGCTGGAACGACTGCAGGGTGAAGTCCTACATCTCCACCACTGTCAACAGCGTATTTCACAGATTTGCTTTCCTAGCATTCCCCACACCAAATTCTGATAACAGAAGCACACATTTTAGGCAAGGCGACAAAGAAAGCAGAAAAGTTAAATGGACTCTGATTCTCCTTAGATGGAGGTCAAAAGTTGACTCTAGGAAAATTGTGTCCACAGAGGAAAGTGAAAGTTTACTTTCTGCTCATCCATTTCCAGAACGATGTCTTGCAACTATAGCAACATTCTCCAAGGCAACCAAGTACAGATTCTTCCTGAGCTATATTTAGAAAGTGTCTACAGAGATGTTCTTTTTGATTAAGGCCACTAACCAGAATTTCCCCCTTTGAACTCCTTATTCTTTAAATTGCTGGTAAAACAAGCTAATCACACATCTTCAAATTTTAATAAGTAAATTATAATCAAGGAAGCTGCTAACAGTTTATGCTTTATTTCTTTTTGCTGAGAGAATAAACATTTTTCCCTTGAGCATTGAAGGAAAGATATAATTTTCTATAATTTATCATATATGATTCACCATTGTTTTGTAAAAAATCGTTTTTATTGATTAGGGACATGAAGCGAGCCATGAAGCATAGGTAAAAAATTCTGTAAGCTTTCTTGGTATGTTTCTTTTTTCAAACATTATCTTTAACGTCAATCCTATCGGTTCTTCTTGTCTTGCTTAGCGCTCGCCCCACGTGGCTAGTTTGAGGGTCGATGCGACAAGCACCAGCATCAACAAGTCATTGATCAAGGTGTGCTCCAAATGTCCCTTTGACAATTCTGCTCCAAAGTGGAAAACCTAGTTTACTAACAGGCCTAAGTATTATTGTTCATAAACAGATTCATCTGTTCATGAATAACAAGTTCTACTGCCCAGTGAAAATCTGCTGACAACGCTACATGAAACGCCAACAATATAATTCTGCCCCTCCCTGTTTTTGTTTGAAACTCTGGTGGTATAGTGATTATGTGGTGGGCTGCTAACCACAAGCGTCAGAAATTTAAAACCACCAGATGCTCCAAGCGAGCAAGACGAGGTCTTCTATTCCACTAAGAGGCGCAGTCTCAGGAAACCCCGCGGGAGTTCCCTCCTGCTCGACAGGGCCACCGTGAGTTGAACTGACTCCATGGCAGTGAGTTTGGTTTCAGTGTTTCTATGTTCCTTTCCATTTTGCCGTGTTTTCTAAAATGTAAATATATATGTATGTGTATATATTTAAGAAACGAAATAAAACCCTGGGATCCCAGGAGCTGGGGAAACATGTTTCTCTGTAGAGTTCATAGTCCCCTGTTGGCGGTTTCTCAGCTACTTTAATAGAGAAGGCATCCTAGCCTTCCTCGTTTTCCCAGAGCTCTCCCTGACTGCTCATGCCTTTGTTACAGCCTCCCCACTGAGGCAGAATGGAGGCCCCTCCTTAGACAAGATTCTATGTATTCGACGATAACAGGATAGTGAGACAACACCCATGAAGGAAAGCCACAGAAATGTTGTCTGCTACTTGGAGAAATGGATGAGATTTCAAGAAGTCCTACCTTCCTGGTCTCTATTTCTAGATTCATATCTAAATCAGAGACAAAATTTTTAAATAGCCAAGGATGTCTTTCCATCATTTTACATCATAACTTTTCTCAGCGTTGGATCATAGCTACTTGTCAAAATTCTATCCAACCCAAATCACTGTCATTCATCTCTTTCCATGTGAAAATGAAGGGCAACTTGAAGAGATCGTTCCCCCTCCCAGCGTTGAAAGTGAAGGAAAGATGGTCCTTCGTCGTCCTTTAGTTCCAAGAGGAACTTCTAGCTCCATCAGTTGTTTTATCAAGAGTTTTCTTTCTCAGCACTTTATTTGACACCTCTTCTCTGAATAAAATGTTGAGGCTAAGAAAGCCTACTCGTCGAGTCAGTGCTGAAGGCTCCCACGCATAGCAATCCTGTAGGACAGAGTAGAATTGTCCAAAGGTCCTCGAGACTTTAAACCTTTACTGGAGTAGACAGCTGCGTCTTTCTCCTGTGGAGCAACAGATGGGCTCAAACCACTGACCTTGTGGTTGGCCGGTCAGTGTATAACGCACTGTTCCACCAGAGCTCCTTAGGAAAGCATAGGAAAAACATTGAAAGTATCGAGCAAAATTGAAAGGAAGAATTAGGATGTTATATTTGCCCACAATATTGCCAGCTTGAAAATATAGACTGTTAGAGAAACATTATGTGAAAAGCAGCTGCTGGAATGAATTTCTGTATGAAAACATCAAATCAAACTCTGGCTACCTGCAATTCTTCAAGGGCCTAGATAGTCTTCTTTGTTAGTGCTTCGGCACTCAACAGTGTCTGGTACTGAGCAGGCACTCAGAACATTGAAGAAGTGGATTTGAACAGATACACAATGTATTTACAGAAAAATATAAGGTAAATTTAAAGTATAGTGAGATGGAAATATTCCACATTAAAAATCACAAGAAAAAATAGTAATAAAGTGAGTATGCTATAGGACAATGTAGACAGCACTACAAAGGGACAGTGAAGCATGACAGTGGTTTGGGTCTGGAGGACTCCTTAGACCCTTCCCATCTTTACTGGTTTGTGACTCCACGCATGTTCGTTTCTGTTGGGAAGGGAAGACCACCAAAGACCCTTTTCCTGGTGGCACAAACTTTTGGGCCCCAATCTGGGTCCTGAGATTCTCAAGTTATTCTGTGGGGAGGAATCCTAACATCTAAAACCCTGAATAAAGCCCAAATGATTTTGCACCATCATCAACCCCAGCCCACTACCCGCAAGTCGTTTCCGACTCATCAGCGGCCCTCATCTTACATCCTAAAGCTAAAATTGCAAAATCATCACTCTCTGATTATCGGCGTCTCGGATTAGTCCCTTCTAGCTTGGCATGTGGATACCTCGGTGCTCCGGATACCACGAGGGCCCGGAGAAGTTGACCTTGGTCTTGCTATTTTCCACAGATGTCACGGACTCCAGAAGCTGGGACCGAGGGAATGTGCAGACTCGGCCCCAGGCACTGCAGCAGGGCGCCTGGGGGACCTCGGAAACCGAAAGTGACCTTACCTACGGGGAAGTAGAGCAAAGACTAGATTTGCTTCAAGAACAACTTAACAGGTATAATAAGCAAGAGCAAGCCAAAAGGAAATCATACCACGCTGTAGATGCGTGTCATGTTTGTGTTGTAAGTTTCTGTAGTCAGCTCCGATTCCTGGCACCCCACATGCAATAGAACACAGTATGGCCTGGTGTATTGCACTCTCAGATCCACCCGTGTGGCCATAGTATGTGTTCATGTGTGTGTACTTTGGGGGAGGGGGTGAGAATGTGCACAGCAAAGCATGCAGCAATTCAATCATTTAAAACTTCAGTGACATTGATTACATTCAAGTCTTGCAACCCTTTGCACAATCCCTTTCCAAATTCTCCCACCTCGCTGCCTGCTGAGCGCTTCATCAAACATTTAGAGTTGCTCTTGACAACTAGATGACTTATAATTACTTAAAATCTTTTCTGAGGCTGAAGCTGAAGCATTGAGAGCACAGTGCTTAAGACAGATATTTGTTATTAATGAAAATAGCCTATTGGTTTAAAAATGACTTCCAGGGACAGTATTAATTTACAGTTTAAAGATTACCTCAGGGAAAGTTTCAGAAGGATAACCCAGGCTTAATAGCTCCAGAAAGTTTGTAATCCGGGAGAATATCAAATTGCCTTCCCACAGTTTTCTTCCTTTTGACCAGAATACTTTTGTAGAATCTTTGATCAAAAGATTATTAATGGTGCCTGAATACCATTCAGGTCTCACCTTTTGGCAAAGAGGCAGTTTGATCTGCATTCAAGTTTCTCCTGCAATCCCTGAATCTCCTTCCTCTGCCATCCAGGCAGATAGAGGTCACCTTGGATGGCTGATGGACCGCTTTTAAGACCTCCTCATAAAGGGCTCATCTTCCAGGATTATATTGGACAATATTCTGTTTTGACCTACAAGGTTTTCACTGATTCATTTTCACCAGGCCTCTCTTCCTGGTTTGACGTAACTTGGAAGTTCTCTGAAACATCTACCACAGGTGATTCTGCTGGTATTTGAAATATGAGTGGGATTGCTTCCAGCTTCATAGTAACGTACTAGCCACCACGGTACAACAAACTGACAGATGGGTAGTGAGGGCAAGCATTCATCCCCATAAATAGGAAATTCAAATCCCATGTTTCATATCCATGTGCTTATTTTTTTTTAAAAAAAAACACAAAATGATCAGTAGAATTCTTAATCTGTATGGTAAATATCACTTACTTAGAATATTCACTACTTCTAACAGCATAAATCTATGCTTTCTATACTTTCCATAAGATTAGCATGATCATGAGCACCAAAAATTAGAAAATCCTTTTTTCCCCCTCAAAAGCATGTATCTATGACTTGTTGGCTAACACCTCCCCTTCTATGTCTCTGTATCTATATTTTGGTTTCATTGCTGTTGTTCGTTCTGACTCATGGCAACCCTGGGCCCAGCGTACAGAAACGTGGTCAGGTCCTGTCCCTGCCTCCCCACTGCTATGCTGCAGCCACTGTGGCTGTCCATCTCCTTCAGGGTCTTGACTTCACCAAGCATGATATCCTTTTCCAGGGACTGATCTCTCTTGATAATATGTCCAAAGTACCTTTTGGTAGTTCCTGGTAACTTCATTATGTGTTGGGGGGTTCCTGCTAACTTAATTCTGTGTTATACCATTTTTTGAAAATATCAACAAGATGATTTTAACATTTAGTTATTAGGCCAACTTGTGCAAAAAAATTAGATTGAATCAAAAAACCTATATCCTCTGCTTCTCTTTTTTATTTTCTCTTCATGTTTGATGTAATATTTTCAAAGATGTGGAATATGTCTTTACTTGAGTGAAGCTGGTTCCCCCTCACCCAAGTTTGCATGGATTCTTTTAGCGTAAATTAGTCAAAACATTTTCAGACAAGCATCTGAAGGAGTTTGACATAGCCCCCTTAGCTATGTGCCATGCAGCAGTGTACTTTGATCCACCAGTAGCCTGGAAGTCAACCACAAAGTAAACTGTCCCAGGAGCCACAGACGGGCTGTACAGATTCAATGAAAATAGTCACGTCAAAGGAATTACTAAATCAATTTAAAACACATGACACAGGGTGTGGGGGATGAAGTGCTTAAACCACTTAAATTTAGGGCAAAATTGGTAGAAGGACCAGGCTACTTGAATGTTGGTGTATATAATGTGCAAATATCTAAGATCAGCCGTCAGCTCCAATGGTGTGGTGACAATGGGCCAGAGATGAAGACCGTACAAAGGAGCTTGTAGACAAAACAACACCACACCCACGGCACCCACTTGCTCTATCAGAGGTGCACTGGCCAGGTACACCTGGCCATAGGTATGGCTCCGCAGTCAGGCTACTGAACAGTCACACACTGTATTACTTAACATGGGGAGAAGACAAGTGGAACCAGAGTGGGATTGTGATAAACTATGTCCATTTTCAGGAATCACTAACTTGTCCTAGCAGCAATGAACTGTACCAGGACGGGATAACAAGTGTACCCTAAAAGTCAGGAAGGATAGGGTAACAAGTGTACCCTATTTTAATCAGGAAGGAAGAGCCAGATCAGAAAATAGGTAGAGAGAATAATAAGTCAGAGAATAAACTCAGATGAATGTCTCTAATAGAAATAAAGTTCATTGGTGATCTCAAGGCTAGGAGTGTAAACTGGTAAGGGAATGTACCCCTAAGACCTATTTGGGTTGCAGCCATCTCTCAGTGATAATATCGTTATTATTTTTTAACTAAACTAGTGAATTAGTAATAGCTCGGATGGCATCGTGGGTCACGCACCAGGCCCCTAACCACATGTTTGGCAGGTCCTACTCACTGGCCTCCCTGCAGTAGCATGAAGAAATAAGACTTTCCACAGTCAACATGCAATGAAATCTCTCTTGACATGATGCTGGCATTTTGGCATGCAATTTCTAAAGATGCTTTTAACTCTACCACAAATATTTCACCTTTGCTAATGTTTTTCCTATCTATCTCTGATATTGTCATTAACACGTTATCACCAAGCATGATTTATCTGCTTTGGGAATTAAAATCTCAAATATTGCACTTTCCCTGCACTACCATCTTCAACAACTCTTTTGTCACCCTCTCAGAAAACTCACCGCCAAGGAGTTGATTCTGACTTTTAAGAACCCTGCTGACAGGGTAGGAATGCCGCTTTGAGTTTCTGAGACTGTAACTTTGACAGGAGTGGTTGGTGGTTTTGATGGCTCATCTTGCAGTTAGTATCCCAGCACATCACCCACTGCACCACGAAAACAAGTTTGTGGAAAACAGCATAATTCCAACTTGTAGTTCCCAGGTCAGGAATTCTGGAAAACTTTCTAGACCCAGACCTATCTTGTTTGACTTTAGTAATGTTCAAGTGGAGAGCTATGAATTCCTATGCCCCTTGTCTTATTCAAATACACATATCCAGTACACAATGCAATAAGAAACATATATAAATAAGTGTTCTCTCCCAAATTAGCTATGCTGTTTTCTTTGCTTCAGAACCCAATTAAATTACAGTAGTGTTAAAGGTTTACATTTGAAACTGTTTCTAAAAGAAAATGTTCTTATGTAATTATATATGTAATGTGGCCTACATTTATGTCCATATTTATATAAATAAAAAGCACCCTGGTGGTATGCTGGATTATGCATTGGGCTGCTAACAAGAGTCAGGTGTTCTGATCCACCAGCAGAAACATGAGGTTGTCTACTCCTGTACAGATTGACAGTCTCAGACACTCTAAGGAACAGTTCAGCTCTGTCCTAGAGGGTCACTGTGAGTCAGAACAGGCGGATTGGCAGTGCCTTTAGTTTGCAGATAATAATTTAATGTTTGATTCGAAAGCAGTGCTTCCTAAACAATAATGTGCACACAATTCACCTGGGAATCTTGTCAAAGCTGTTAGTCCATATGCCTGCAGTTGGCCGAGACCCCACATTTTCAACAAGCCCCCTGCTTTGCTCGGTGTTGGGGCCTCTGTTTGAGGAGGGAAGCCCTGGAGAATGTGAAAGCTGTCAATCATGATGCTTGCCCTAGCAGAACACCCAGGGCAATTGATCTGTATGCCTCGAGGATGTCATGAAGTACTTGTTTCACTTGGTGTTCGTTATTTATGTGCTTCCTTCATCACTCCTTCCTAAGCATTCAGCTCCTGTCAGCTCCCTGGGATCAGATTCCGTATGAATGCATCTTCATGTTCTCCCCCCATCCACTGACATTGCAGGCCTTGGCGAATGAATGAAAATAGATATTTTACACAGCTTTACAGCTATGCTGACCTTCCGTAGCCCCTCAACAATGTTGTTGTTGTTGTACTGAGTTGTTTCCTTCTGTGTTAAGGACCACACTGGATTTGTGTTGTTAATTCCTCCTAGATAGATGATTTGTTCTCAAGACTCAAGAGAAACATCCATTCTATTTAAACTGAGACTATTTTCATAAAGTATGGACTGCAGATAAAGTCCCCCTTTGTTGAACTACCCAAAATATAGCCAGGTTACTAATAAAGACAAAACTAAGTTCATTGAAAATCACTTGAGGAAGGAAGAAGGCCATCTTAACAGATCTGAGCAGGTGGGGAACTGATTGGGACTGGGCAAAGCATGAGATGTCATAGCTCAGATTTGATGGACTGTGCACGATAAAGGTCTGAACACAAGGCTTGCCAAATGGTTTATTTGTGTAAGCAAGTTTGTTGAGATTAGCAGCCCTCTCTCTGATTAATTGCTCTTTAGAAGTTACCGCCAATGAAATAAGTCTTTGCTTTAATCTTCTTTTCCCCCACAAAGTAATTTCGGAGTCAACAACAAAGTCATGTTGAATGAGGAGGCCTATACTTTATCAAAGTTGGGCAAAGGTACAGGTCTCAGTTCCCCCTGTGTTAGTCTGGGTGGACTAGAGAAGCAAATTTACACACACTCAGATATGTAAGAAAAAACTTTATAGACAAGAGCAATTGAATATTGAGAAAACATCCCAGTCCAGTCCAGGTCAAGTCCATAAGTCCAATATTAGCCCCTATGTCCAATACCAATTTATAACATCCTGTTTAGATTCACGAAATACATGCAATCATGCCAAATGCAGGAAGATCACAGGCCAGTGCGTGGAAAGTCTTGTGGATCCAGTGGCAGTGTAAGCATCTCAGCACTGGCATGGGTCTCCACATTGCTCCTTCCTGCTGTAGGGCCCTGGCTGCAACAGCATAGCTCCATCAGGCTCATCATCAGTAATGTCTCGCAAGTAGTGAGCATGTGTCCCGCCTCCAGTGAGCTAATTATCTCCTTAGCGCCTCCAAATGAGGCCCTCAAGCTGCAACCTGTTTGACAGGCTAACCTCCACCCCTTCACTCTTTGGTCTCAAATTGACAACAGATTATGTAACTACCACATCCCGTAATGGGCCTCTTCATCAGTCACATGTTATTTTGTTGGCTAGTCCTATTTAGGGTAGCACTGGGCATGTGATGCCAAAACCTCAACTTCCAATAGATTTTGCTCTCATAAACACTATTCAAATAGACAGAATCCAGAGCCCGCTGCTGACTGTTTAACGAAGATCTTATAAGACACAAAAAATGCTTATGTTGAATTCTATTTACAGACATATAAAGATTCTGAACCCCATTTGTTGATCGAGATTTGATTCATTTCTTACTCCCAAATTCATTCACATTCAATATAAAGACCTTGGATAGTAATAATACCAAAATAAAATATGTATAGAACTATTTATGGTTATGTCTGAAAGTAAAATTATCTTTGGTGTCTCAGATAAATTAATTCTGAATGAATACAATAATGGAAACCTTTTGGAAGCATTTAAATTTTGTACTAGGCTTTGATGAGTGAAAGAAAGGTGGGATACACAAAATGTGAGTTAGTTGGTGCCCTAAAAATATTAGATCAGCCCTTTGGAGAACAGATAAGTAAAACAGCTGTTAACTCAATGTTTACCTTTTCAGTGTGTGGTTTTGACATTCACAAGGCATACTCATACATAATTTATTGGTTTAGAATACACTGCTATATTTACCGAATATAGAAAACTTATCATATGCTATTGTGATAGAAAGATTTGTAGTATTAATTACACTTCAAAATATACATGTGTGTATATGTGTGTGTGTATACTCACATTTATCTTTCAAAGCAAAGGCTAAATTCTCTTCACACTGAGTTCTAAAATATAGTGTGGATGTATTTGGACAAAGTTAGTATTATTATTTCAACAATTTGGGTATGATCGACATTTTCTTGTTTTTTGTTGTTCAGAGGTTAAACAGCAAACCCTAATAAAGAATTGTTAAAAAGCATTTTCTGAGAAGGAAGATGGTCCACACTTTCCATTCGGGCACCCATAAAATTCCCTCCACTTTTCATTCTTTTAACATATGCAAAGAGGAGAATCAGACCAATTGAGTTGTGCTGTTTTCTCGTGAATTTTAATTTAAAATGAAAATTAAATTAACAGGCCAGTTGGCTGCTTGTAAACATTGAGAGAAAGAATGTTCAGACTGGCATTTTGCAAGCCAGATGGGTCGACGTAAGTGAACATTCAAGTTCAGTGTGTTTCTTAAATATCAAAGTCCCTAAGCTATAGATGGCAAGAGAAGGTAGCAACATTTCAAAAGACTACAGTGAACCACATAGAATACTTGATGTGTACAGGAGAGAGTTAAGGTAAAATTTTAAACACACAAGGAATTACCCTGCGATGTTATGACTCTGGGGGAAAAAAGAGTATGCTGTAAACTTGTTATTGTTTAAAGAATGAAGGGGATTTTCAAAAGACTGAACAAAGCAAAGACAATTTAGTGCTCAAAAATCTTTTCTTAGTGTTTTACATTTTGAAATCAATAAAACTTAGTACAAATTTAATCCATTCCACTCACTTGTTTTCTGTTAACGTCTTATGAAAGGCCCAGGAAGCAAGTTCTTTATCAGAATTATTAGAGGGACCTAAGAAGAAAGCATAAGCCACCAAAGATTCTCCTTGCTCCCTCCCTGCCCTCCTTGTTTATTTATAACCATCGTTGTGTTAATGGTACTGAAATGTTCTCAAATGTTTTAGCAATCCTAGTCGACTGGAGGACCATCATTTCCAACTGTTATCTGCCCTGTAGGCTTGAATCCCAAATGACTACTGACATCCAGACCATCTTACAGTTGCTGCAGAAGCAAACCACTGTGGTTCCCCCAGCCTACAGTATGGTGACTGCCGGAGCAGAGTATCAGAAACCCGCCATCCACCTGATGGGAGCCAGCCACACCAGAGCATCCATTAAAACTGACAGAAGTTTCAGTCCTTCCTCACAAGTGAGTATAGATTTCATTCAACCAATCCAACCAGGAATGACTCCCCCGCTTAGAATCACCTGGGTGCTCATGGGAACACAGGTGCTCATCCCCCTCCCTGTGTCTATCAATGAGAATTGTTGGGCACAAACCCTGTAGGCTGAGTGTGAAACAAAGCTGTTCTACCCATTAAAAGCTTGAGTAAAATGGACCTAAAACGGATGATTTCAAATAGTCTTTTTTAAAAAGAAAAAGCTTATTTCAAGACTCAGTCTACTTAAATTGATATACAGTAGAGTTTAAGAAGCTAAGGAATTGTGCTGGGTCCAAACATGCTTTGGAAAAAAAAAAAATCTCTAGTTTGTTACACTGACAACAGAAAGGAGTGGAGGTGTGGGGCTGAGGTTCAAGTGCAGGTTCGTGCGAGGTTTGTCCTTCTGCCCTGCCCATCACCGGAGTTCTCCGCGACCTCTATTTCACCAGGTTGATAAAATGCAAAGAGGTGGAATGTAAACACTCTTTTATGGTGCCTCTGAAGCCCTCTTACGGGCCCTGTTGAATTATATTAATATGTTTACATCCCTTGGAATTCTATCTTGGGAATTAGTCTTCATTTTTTTAAACATTAAAATTAGACATAGAAACAAAAATATTTCAGAACAATCTTGTAAAGTGTCTCTTGTGAAATTGAGTTCAAACGTCTATCAATTGACTATATTATAGTCACAGGAAATCCTGTGCCAGGAGGAAGGTAATGCAATCTTTCAAAAACACAGAAGGAGAGACTCATTTACCCCTAACTAGTTGATGGCTGGGAAGCATGCAAAACTATGCTGCTCCTTCTGTATTTCCAGGGCATTCTGATCACTTATTTGGACTGAACGATTTTTCTACCTTTTTTTATCTTTTCTCCCCGGCTCTGTCTTGTAACCAAGCAGAGTTCCTGGATTGTGCAAGCAGTCAGTTCACATGGCCGCTCACTGAAAGAACTAGCCCACGCAGAGAAAGGAAGCGAAAGAAAGGCCTGACAATCGACTTCTGAAAATGGAGTCATTGAATCCCCTAGGAAGCCATTCCAATGACACACAGGGCGCTCATAAGGATTTCAAATGTATCGAGAAAACTTGACGTGAAATCATGTAAAACAACAAAGAATCTAACCTGGCAGCAGAGTAAAAGTGAAGTTCTTGAAATGACTGTTGTTTAGTATTCTCTGAAATTTAAATGACCTCCAATTTAGATTCTGAGGGAATACTTGATCTCCAATTGCTTCGCCCACCAGAGGGAGAGCAATATTGGACAAATGACTAATCGAATGCAGATCAGTGGTGAAGCAAAGCTCATCTGGGATTCGTGGGTGTAATTTAGATGTCTGCCAATGTCAATTATAAATACGTGCTTTCTGTTCTTTCTATCAGTGTCCTGAATTTCTAGACCTTGAAAAATCTAAACTGAAATCCAAAGAATCCCTCTCCAGTGGGGTGCAGCTGAACACCGCTTCCGAAGACAACTTGACTTCACTTTTGAAACAAGACAGTGACCTCTCCTTAGAGCTGCACCCAAGGCAAAGGAAAACGTACCTTCCTCCAAGCAGGCACCCTTCTTTGCCAGAGTCCTCCCGAAGCACTTCAGGAAGCTTGGGTCTTCATAGGCATGTTTCCGATCCTGGTATGCCAGGGCAATAATCCTTTTGTACCATTTACTCCATATACAGTGTAAGTGCTTTCAACGGCTGTTCTCCTTTTTTGTATTTAAATCCTCTCTACTTGACTCAGGGGCTCACAAGGTACCATTATATGCAAAAGTACTGTATATTTTCCTAAATTGAAGCTTGTACGGTAAAACTGAGCAGTTAGGATGTACATATACATAAGAACATTTTGTCCCAAATGTTAAAACTGCCAGCATCTCAAGGCACCTTATTTTTTACTTTTATTTTTTAAATCATGTGCATGTTAGGAAACTCCAGTTTCTCTTGCATGGAGACTCCTATTTACTGCTTTTACTAAGCCAGTATTTTGTTATGAAAATGCCTTCCAAGCAAATAAGAAACTAAGGGGTAAAACTATTCATGGATGCCCTTCAGATGACCCTCAACTCATTCAAGTTCAAAGGAACTCTCAAGTCACATTTGAGAAAGGATGCCCTTCTCTACCAAGAAGTGTATAGTTATTGACACTCCACAGCACAGCGGGGAACGGCAAGGTTTGAGTTGCACACCTCTGAAAGCATAGAGAGCCATCTCCAAATACAGGAATATACGCTAGCATTAATGAGGACAAAAGGTCTTGCAACTTAAAATTCTGTCACCAACTGTATTCATAAACAACCTTAACTATTTACCACTGGCATACTGCCTAGAGTGCTTAGAAACAAGGGATTCTATTTTTGTTTTGTGTTTCTTTCGTGTGCGTTTTTATTTTTGCAGGCTGGGGGATAGGCTGAGTGAGGAAGCTCCTCTTAAGAACGCCTAAACCATGGCCTGCACAAAGTGACAGGCACCGCCCTCATCTGGTTCACATTGCAGAGCAACGCTGCATTTGATCCGAAGTGTGGAAACACATTTTCCCTGCAAAGAATGTGCAATTTTAGTGGAATTGAACGGGAAAACTGTCTTCCATCAAGTAGGTGCTGGTCTGTGGCTTTCTCAACCCAGCGATGGGGAAAATGAGTATTTACCTGCCTAATAGGGGCTCTATTTGGCGTCGTGGGTGACAAGTTGGGTAGCGAGCCACAAGGTCAGCACTTCCAAACCACCATTCTATGGGAGAAAGAAGAGGCTTTCGGCTCCCATTGAGGTTTCGAAAACACACAGGACAGGTCTACTCTGTACCCCGTGATCACGATGAGTCCAACGTGACTCATCGTAGTAGTAGTAGTAGGAAGGAAAGACACTGCCCAGGAGGGAATGTGCCAGGTGCTTCTGCTCTTTGAACACCTGCTCATCAACAATCGAGCCCGAATCTATGATGTACAAACGCACACAAAACTCATGCCACCGAGTCCTTTCCAACTCAAGCAGCCTCTAGCAGCAGGCCCCCATGGGATTTTCCAAACTGGAGATCTTGACAGGAGCAGAAAGCCTCGGCTTTCTCCCAGGGGGCAGCTGGTGATTTTGATCTGCTGACCTTCCTGTTAGCAGTCCAATGCGTAGCTTAGGCTAAAGGTATGGTGACCCCAAAACAATAACATACAATAGAGCATATTTTAATATATATCATCAATGATTAGGATTTAGCATATGCCTCTCTCTGCTAAAAGCAGAATGATTGGGGGGCTGGGGAATGACAAGTTAAAGATTCTCATTAATTAAATTCCAGTTAAACAATTTCATTTTTCAGCTAGCTTAATTAAAATTTTTAAATTATTATGGACTAGTCAATTACATCCTTTTCTTCTGAACAGCAACAAAAATAATTGGTCAAAAATTTCAGTTTTGACCAACTCTTAAATTCACACATAATTTTACACCGGTGCAAATCATTAAATGGATTCATTTCTCTCCAAAATAATAGAATCTTATGGATTCAAATAATTAATTCGCTTCAAATAGCTGAATTTATTTATACAAACAACATGTACTATTTGAAATATGACTAAAGTGACCTGCGACTGCACCCTGTGTGTTTTTAAATGGTCACATAAATTGATCATCTGTGTGAAAGTCATCTGAAGGCATGAAAGGGCTCTTATCCCTGCGTGTTTGAAAAACCAAAACCTAAGTGATCAAGAACATGCAACAAAATGACTAGTCAGTTCAGTAGAACTGTAATAAGAATAAACCGACGACACAAACCATCTGGTGTGATACCAGTTTAGGAATCACTTTTATTTTCTCATTTAACAAATATTTAAGGGACGCCTACAACTGTCCTAGAAACCGGGTCTAGCAAGGGAGAGTCGCCTAAGTGGCGAGCTGATTGCGAGGACTCTTTAGAGAATGTATTCCCATATGCGGGCACATTATTTGCAGCTGCAACAAATTCCATGACGATTTCGAGCAGATTCAGAGTGAGTTCATCAGAGATCGTTCATTGAGAGAGAGAGCGAGGATTTGGCAGGTGAGGAATTTAGAACGAATTATTTGAATCGTGAATGCTTCAGCTGCAATATTTGGCGTGACATGCATAAAATTCAGCCTTCTCAAGAAGCCTCTAGGTATGCATCCTTCTGAAAAGAGGAGAGCAGGGAGGAAGGGGAGATGAGGAATGGTGTGGAAGCATCCAGCCTGCTTCAATCCGAGCCTAACGCAGGCCTTTTGTTCCTTCTTAATCCCTTTACAAGAAACTAATTGCTTGATATCCAAAATGTAAATCTCACAGAGTTGGGCAGGATTAGAAAGACCCCTTCCGACAGGTATTAACTTAAACGGAGCTTTTGGTGTGCGACCCCGAGAGTGGACTCTTGCTGAGGATGGGGATGACGGAGTAGGACTGCTCCGCCCAGTTGCCAGGCTGAAATCTCGACGGGAAAAGATCCACGAGGCTTTTCTCCTATGGAGCAGCACGACCTTTCCGCTGACAGCTGAGTGCCTGACCATTGTGCCACCAGGATTTCTCCTGAAATATTGGTCCAACAACCAAACAAACTCATCTATCTACCTGAGTCAAACATAAAACACCAGAAGACTTGGCGGTTAAATTGGCTTCTAGATGTCCAAAGCAGTGATCTTACTGTACAAAACGCAGCCCTTTGCCTCAGCCTGAAAACGAGTGTTTAAAAGTCATCAGCCACCTTCCCCATCAGGGTACAGCAAAAACCGTCTGGCCCCCAATCTCAGCATTCCATTGCAGCCCGGATTTCACTGCTGCAGCCCATCATAATGACATGGTAGCAACGGCTTTCCTTCTAGGTAATTAGCCACATTAATACCCCTTGCTTTCCTCTTAAAAATGAAGTGTCACCTAGTCCCTGGTCTAAATTAAACACCATCCCCAAATCCACGCTCTCTTTCCATTAGAGGGCTTCACCCCTGCTGTCATTAATTGCTGGGCAGAAAGCTGAAACCTATACGTATCTCATTGTATCCCATAAGGGAGTCTTCCATCTTAATTAGTTGATCTGAGAAAACTAGGAATAAAACATGCTGAGTGAATGTTCTTACAGGCTTTGTAAATTAGTAATCACTCTTCCACCAAACATGAGGAGACAGGAGGTGGATTTGGAATAGCATAATTTCTTAAATTTGTTGTGATCATTAGAATTGACTTTTCCAATTTTCCTAGTCAGAAAACATAAAAACTAAGAGCATAGTGGTGGCATTTGGGGTCAGGTTTAATATGTGTGTATAAACAGGATTGCTTACTAGGTCTCTGGGGGGGAGTTGAACTTTGGTAAGGGTTCCACAATGCCTGATAGGACAATGTCCTCATCCAACTGTCATTTTTAAATCCCATAATATATCATCAAAGGTTAAAATATATTAATTTATCAACATATCTAAAATATGACTATTAACAATCTCACTCCTCTGTCTTGAACAGCTTCTTTAAAAAGGAATTCACTTAATCTACCATTGCAAAAATGAATTGCAACTTTGATTGCTACGATTTACTATAACAGTCTAGATTTGAAACCAAATATAGATGTGTTCAAGCAGATTTCTTATTTCAATTTAAAAATTTTAGAAATTAAAAATAAATTCAAGTGTTATCAAGTTTAGCAGTGAAACAAAGGTGTCTATCATATGAATGCAAAGAGACGCTCATGTCTTGGAAGACAGCATGATACAGAACAAGGGTCCTCAAAGTGTGGTCCTGAGCTGTGAGCATCAGTATCACCATTGTTAAAAATGCAAATACTTGAGCCTAACATAGTGGAGCTAGGAGCCCTAGTGGCATCGTGCTTATGAGTTGGGGTGCAATCTGTAAGGTCAGCTGTTTGAAACAGCTTTGCAGGAGAGACTGGACTTTCTACTCCCATAAAGTTATAGCCTGAGAAACTCAAAGGGCAGTTCCACCCTGTCACATCGCGTCACTATGAACAGGCATCAATGCCACGGCAATGAGTTTGGTTTTCCGTTTATTCCACACCTGGGAGAAAGACGGGGGCTTTCTACTGCCAGAAAGAGTTGCAGCCTCAGAACTCACAGGGCAGTTCTATAGCCCTGTAGGATCGCTATGAGTTAGCATCGACTTGATGGCAATGAGTTTTTGTTTTGTATCCCAGACCTGCTCAATCAGAACCTCCAGTGGTGGGACTCAGCCACTGTCTTTGAGCAGGCATGGTCTACCCTAGCGGTTGCACACTAACCATCTGTGAATCACCAGTGCAGAGGAGCAAGCATTGGATCTGCCTTCAGACTGCCTTGACTCCAAACATGAGTTCTTTCCTTAATTCCAGTGAGATCCTGAGCAAGCTCACTCACCTCCCTGAGTTTGTGAAAACAAGAACGGCGCCTGCCTCACGAGATGAGATGACAAAGTGCCTGGCACACAGTAGGTGCTCAAAACAAACAACAAAAGACAAAACCCACCAGAATCTTTATTTCTCATTCAAAAACATGGCATAAAAATATCAAGAAAAAATATGTTATTCCCTCACAATTTAGTTTTTGCCCAATGTACTACGTCTCCAATTAAATAACTGTTGCTAAGACTATAAAGTTTTTGATTCAGAAAAATCTGAGTGTAGCTATTGTTTAGTCTCTCTTAATTATATTTTGCACTATTAGGTTTATAGCTTTAAATAATACTTACTATATGTAATAAGAATAGTGGGGACGATGAGTCTCATTGTTACAAACATATCTGGTCTGAATCAATGTTAAACAGCTAGTATGCAAAGCTAGTCTGTCAAATTCAGTACTTCGAGAATGTTCAGCAGACTGGCTCCCTGTGAAAGTCTGCGGATTCCTGACGTTGCCCCCAAGTAGATATGTGAAAGTAAAGAGGGTCTTCAGAAAGGTCGGGAGGAGGAGGGGCTGGGGAAACTCCATCAGCTTTTAATTCCATTTTGCATGAACTTTTTGAAACCTCCCCCCGCCCATTTTCAAAATAGGATTTTTATAGTACATGCACATCCTATTGTTTAGCAAAAGCAAGATTTTACTGTTTGAATAGCTCTTTTCATGCACCTGGACCTGCCCCCTCTCCCTGCAAGGCTGTATTACAAAGACAGCTCTAGCCTTAAGGTGGAATAAGGAGCCCTGTTGACATGTGGCTACACATGGGGTGCCGCCATTTGTGAGACACCAGCTGCTGTGCAGGAGAAACACTAGGCTTTCTGCTCCGTAAAGAGTCACAGGAAATCCCGGGGCAGTCCTACCCTGTCCTCTAGGGTCACTGAGTCAGTGTCAACTCCATGGCAATGGGGTGTTAGTGCAGAGTGGGGAAAACAAGCAAGGACCTGGGGCTCGGTGTGGTGAGCCTGAATTCAAGTCTTATCTTTGCCACTTACTCTTGGAATTTAAAACCTTAGTGAGCCCTGCAATCCTAAAGTATAAAAATAGAGGTAACATCTTACATAATTGGTCAGGAAGAGGGTGTGTTAAAGATCCTTTAGAGCAGTGGTTCTCAGCCTTCCTAATGCCGAGACACTTTAATGCAGTTCCTCATGTTGTGGTGACCCCCAACCATAACATTATTTCCCATTGCAACTTCATCACTGTAATTGTGCTACTGTTAGGGGTCGTTTGACCACCCCAGGTTGAGAACTGCTGCTCTAAAGTATATATAAAGAAACCCTTTGTAAACCATAAGGCATCATAAGATTGTGAAACCATCCTGTGCATCATCACAAAGAAAGTGGTTTGTGGTATTGCAGTACTGTTTGGC